GAGCAAGAAATTGTCAATGAATCAGAACATTGTTCTGTAACAATGGCCTTTTGCTGCTACATAGAAAGGCAAAACAAATATTCTTTAAAGTAGATGTTGCTTTGTAATAGCATTGTTACAATTACTTACTATTTTTATATTGGTCTTTACTTGGATAGTGTGGACACTATATATGTCTGATCAGTAATGTATCTTGCTTACTATCCTGTTCACTTACTGTATTTTGATAGAAACATGACAGGCTGAAATCAACCGACTTAAAATTTCTTCAGTACAAGAACGGTGGATTAATCTAGTTTTTTAATTTTAATGATGACTACATCAGCCATATCGCTACTTTGTTCACTGGCACAGATTCAGCTTGTAATTAATAGTTTAGTAATAGTTGGCATTCACAGTATATAATGTTTAATCTTAAAACTGTGTTTTTAATACCATAATGAGAGAGATGGGTTACAAGAACTACTATATTTAATTGGGAAAACTAATGCTTCCTAACATTTGCTATTATAACACTTGGAAATACGTGTCCAAATTATGCATGTTGCTCTTATCTCAACCACAAAATACATAATTTAAAATAGGGATGTTAGCAACTAGTTGACTACAAGCATATGTTTATCGGGTAGTCGAGTAGTGACTCAAGGAGTCACTTTGCCGTCCCCCTTGCTGCCTCTATCAGACAGAGGCAGCAAGTGGGGAGGAGCAAGAACTGGTGCTGGAGGGCTCTGGTACATTTCAAAGGCAGAGACACAGCAGGATAGCGAGTGCCCCCCTTGTTGATGAATAGAATAGTCAGTGGAAATTTCACTGACTACTCGATTAGTTGATTGATTGAAATTTAACATCCCTAATTTAAAAAGCATGAAAACCTCCATGACATTTTTGAGCATTGTGTCAAAAACTGCCCTCCTCTCTTACAAGTAGGCTACAAAAACGGGATTACCATTCCATTTCATGCCCACAATACCTTTCTGTTGAGCTCATGTATTTCACTTGCATAGCTATACTCTCTCAGTAAAATTGTGTCTCATCAAATTGTTTCATCAAAGAAGGGGTTTGTATGAAGCAATTTCTGTCAACATAATGTACTACACGTTGTACCTCCCTTAACCAGGACTCCCTGGTCTGGTAACATCCGTGTTCCAGTATGTACCATAGATGTTCCTGGATCAGAGCCCAGGAAGAGGGAGGTGTGGTGGCAGACCTCCATGACATTTTTGAGCATTGTGTCAAAAACTGCCCTCCTCTCTTACAAGTAGGCTACAAAAACAGGAAGCTCTAGCTTGGCCACAGCCATGGACCTCTGGCTCCGGCAGCAGCCATAGAAGTCTGGCCCTTTCCCTGGCCATGGAGCTCTGGCCATGTTCTGGCTCCAGAGACCGGGGAACTCCAGCTCCAGTGGCAGCCAGGAAGCTCTGGCCCCAGCTAAGGAGCCAGGCAGCTGCAGAGCTCTGCCCTGGCTGTGCGGTTCTGGTTGTGGTGCTCCAGTCCCAGCAGTAGTGGGGGCAGGGGCCAAGGCAGCAGCAGGGGCAGGCTGGAGCCCTAGACTGGTGACAGCATGGGCCAGGAGGGGAGGGACGTTCCCTGGTCCAGGAAATCCCCTCGTTTGGGACCAGTCAGGTCTCCAGGGTGCTGGACCAGCAAGGTCCAACATATAGACTCAAAATATTCTCCTCCTATCAGTATTTATAGAGGGTTTTTTTGTTACACATGAAGTATCACTTATGGTCACAAGTAGGGTTCCCTGTAAGGAGTGCACCTGCGCGGGCACACACAAAGAATTTCAGTCCCACCCACCCCCTCAGCAGAGCCATGCAGCCATGGCCTCAGCTGCTCGCGGGGGTGAGCCACATGGTGGGTGGCTGCCCCATTTCATATGGCCCACATGGCAGCTGTCAGAGCTGGAGCCTGGGCCATGGTACTAAAAATATCATTGCAGCCTTGGCTCCAGTCTCAGCATGTGGAGCAGCCACCTGCCATGTGGCTCCACCCGGAACCAGGGAGCTAGAGGGGGGTGAGTGGTGCAGGTGTCAGGAAGGCAAAAGGTGAGGGAAGGGGCAGTGGGGGAAACTAAGGAAAAAGGGGGGGTGAGGAGAGTAAGGGGCTTGCACTGAAAGGAGAGGAGGGCGCCAAGGCAGGAGGAGAAAGGGGAAGGCACCAAGGGGCAGTGTGGAGGAAAGACAAATGCCAGGGGGCCAAGAGGAGACAATGAGAAGAAAAGGCAGGAGGAGCGGGAGGAGGGATGGGAAGGTGTCAGTGGGAGAGGGGAGGGGACAGGGTGATGCTGGGAGAGGAAAGGAGAAGAACAATGGGAGGAAGAAGAAGGGGAGGAGTGGATGTTGGGAGAAGAGGGGTTGAAAGGAGGGGTGGGCATGAGGAAGGTAGAGGATGGAGCAAGTCACATGTGAGGGTGCAGAGGGGTGGAAAGAGAACTGGGGCGGAAGGTGGTGAGGGGTGGGTACCAGAGAGGAAGAGGGCAAGGGGGGCAGATGATGGGAGAGCAAGAGCAGTGAGGGAAGGGGAAGGCACTGGGAAGGTGCAGGTGACATGGGACTGTGGGGGTGAAGCAGAAGGGCAGACATGTGGCACCAGGGGGCAGAGGAGAGTGGCAGGGCAGATGGGTAGAGGGAGGAGTTAGGAGAGAGGATAGGGAAGGGGGCTACAGGAGAGGTAGGCACAGGGGAGAAGGGAAGGATGGGTTCAGGAGTCAGAGAGGCTGGGGAGGGGGCAGGTCCAGGAAGCTGGGGGGAGTGAGAAGGACAAGATCCAGGATAGCAGAAGAGGTTATGGGGTTGGGGGCAGCAGCAGCAGGCACTAGGGTAGCAGATGGGATGAGGGAAAGATAGGAGACATTGCAGCAGAGGGGAAAAGGGAGAGGTTTAAACTAGGGTGCCACAGTGGCACACATTCAAACAAGCGCACGTGACCTCAGTATTGGTGCACAAGACACAACTCACTCCGCTTATGGATGGAAATCTTAGAGGGAACACTGGTGACAAGATGCTGTCTCTACCATAGTGGAAAAACCAAGGCAATTAATTAGTTAAAATATTTGCTTTTGGGATATATCCTGGAGCTTTGTATCTGCCCTGCTGTTGAGTCTTCATTGTCTACATGCTGTTGTCTGATGGCCACTATTTGCTAACACTGCACTTTATAGCAGCCTTTTTGTCATCTGTTGCTGTGAGGTGAGGATAAAGCACTTCTCTTTTTCTAGTAGGAGCTTTCCCACCAACAGCTGCTATGCTGTGCTTACACATTGGGAATAGGCAGAAAGTAAAACTAAGACAATGTCATCACATAATTGGATGTATTAACTGTGTATGTTCAGCCAGTAACATTACGGCAAATTAAAGAAAAGAGCCCTATTTTTTTCCCTCTTCAGTAAATCACTTCATAGGATTTCATGATAGTGATCAAGTCACAAAAATCAAACTGATCAGCATGTTCTGTGAAGAGCTGTTAACAAGCAAGGGTTTCATTAGTTTTGTATTCTCTCTCCACACGGGCTATTGAGTTATCTGTGCATAGGCCTTGCCTAGGGTATGGTGTTAGCTTGTGGCAGTATAGACAAGTCACACTGCTCTTATTATGTGTTAAGATTGAGTTAAATCCTGGAAAGGGAACTTGGACTTCAACTGTTTACATGAAGTAGCCAAAAAATAAAATTCCATAATCTTTAAGGAGAGGTGCTGATGGGTAAAGTTTTCCTGGAACCTAAAACCTGCCCACTCAGGGTGTGTCTAAACCACAGAGTATTTTTTTTTTTTTTTTTAAAGTGGCCTCTTTTTGAAAAAAAACTTCCCCTGCATCTAGACTGCTGCTGCGTTCTTTAGAAAGTAAATCGAAAGAATGCAGCAGTTTTTTCGACTGCAGAAAACCTTGTTTAACGAGGAATAACGCCTTTTTTCGAAAGTGCTCTTTCGATAAAAGTCTCTATGTAATGCAAACTGTGCTTTTTTGAAAGAGAGAATCCAGACTGCCTAGGTGCTCTCTTTCGAAAAAGCGACTTGCTTTTTCGAAAGTACTGGTGGTAATCTAGATGCTCTTTTTTGAAAGAGGCTTTTTTGAAGTATCTTTCAAAATAGGCTTGCAGTCTAGACGTAGCCTCAAGCTTTATCAGGCTTTCTTCTGTTGATTATATAGCCACTAGGTTGCAACAGATGAATGCAAAAGGAGAGTTTAAGGGTATATCTACATTGCAATTAAAACATGGCAGCTGGTTCAGACTTAGATTACAGGTCTGTTTAGTTGTGGCGTAGCTGTTTGGGCTCTCGGATCCCCTCTCCTTGTGGGGTTCCGGAGCTCGAGCCCAAGTCCAAATGTCTAAACCACAATTAAACAGCCCTATAATCAAAGTCAGCTATTATGGACCAGCCACAGGTGTGTTAGATGCAGTGTAAACATACCTTTAGGCTCTTCCATCCCACTGGGTCCTAGAGCCTAGAATCCAGGTCTACAGAGCAATGAAACAGTTTTCAGCCCAAGCCCTATGGGCCCAATTTGACTACACAGGCCACCCATGGGTTTTTCTTTGCTGGGTAGACATTCCCTAAAAGACTCAGGAGAAGATGACTTGGCAGGGGTACAAATCACAGTTGGATCTTCACATGTATTTTATCAGCCTGTAAACTAAAAGATCTCATAAAAATACACTTTAATTCTGTACATTTGACTCCATGTCAGAATGCACTAATAATATCTACCTTTCTGTAAGAAATAGTACATCAGGGAAATGCACACTCCCACACTATAACGTGAGTCATTCTTTCAGTGATAGTTAAATAGAGGACAATATTCTATAGTCTTAGTATAGACTTCTGCTTGATAGGTAAAGGGGAAATATTCTTACATCCTTTGCCAATTCCTTCATTCTCAGAGTGATTTTGTACATGCAGTTAATTTATCCAATCTAGCATTTATTAAAGGTGTGAGTTAGTTGTATAACTTTGTTCTTTTAATGTGGCTCTAAACACTACTTGCCTTTCTAAACATAGGAACTGGAAATAAAAAAAATGGCAAAGACTGGTAACAAAGAAGCCTGCAAGGTTCTAGCAAAACAGCTTGTACAACTGCGAAAACAGAAAACTCGAACCTATGCCGTTAGTTCAAAGGTCACCTCCATGTCAACTCAAACTAAAGTAATGAACTCCCAGATGAAGATGGCTGGAGCTATGTCAACCACAGCAAAAGTGAGTAGTTAAATCCATACAAATGTCTAAATGCAATTCATGTTCCCAGGCACTTTCATACTGAAACTCAAATACAAAAGATAGATTGCAAAAATCTTGACATATTCAGTGTTATTTTGTAAAAACTGTCTAGTGATGACATGTGCCTGGCGAATATTAATTCACGTTTTGAAAAACATTAAATTAGCCATTCATATCTTGCTGGTCAGTATCTGCTATTTAAACTAGCAGACTCTGTGTCACAGCAGACTTACAGTATCTTAGTCATAGCCTGAAAGCTGTTTAGTTTTAGTGTCTAGGGTTTTTAATTGATCCTGTAAGTTTTGATGCAAAGGGTTATTATAGTAGACTAACAAATAAACAGCTTATTGTGCAATGTCTTTCCTATAAACTTAGTCTGTCATATAACTTCTGGTAGATAAAGCAAAAGTAGGGTAGATTGATTCTAGGAATCAAGGCAATATGTCACCTAGCTTTGACTTGGGTGAAAATGAGGCATTTACTTTCTGGCTGACATTTCTAAAGAGCTCAGTGAGCTAGAACTCGCCTTCATCTTCACCCTCTGTACACCAAGGAAATTGTGTTAAATTGCTTTGCTTCTTGTCTCATAAAATTTCAATATATCACTAATTTGATTTGATGCAGGAAGAAGCTGCTAGGAAGACCTTCCTTTAGAGGGCTACTACCAACAACCTCTCTTTAAAGAATAAAGTTTAAAAAAAAAAACAGTTGAACCATATAAAGCTGTGGCTATGCAGTAGGTCTCTTTTTGCTCCAAGAGATGGTACAGCTAAGTCAATGTTACACAAGACAGTTTATGCTAGCATGCACCTTCTTTCTCTTTGGTGACTTCCTCTCCCATCATTCATATAGCAGCTTCACATATGAGGAAATTAACCTTGCTTTTTAAAACTCCATGTTGAGAAGTGACAAAATCAATGGAAATGTCAATTTCCATTTGAAAAATTTTCTAATTTCCATCAGGATTTAATTTTTTTTTTTTAAACTGAAGCAAGTTCATAAATGTTCTATGCAACATTATTATATAATATGAGTTATTTTGGTCACCTAATGGTTAACTTTTTCCCATTTATACAGTAAAAAATACACAGTACTAAAAACACTGCTTAGACCACCTATGGACCAGGGCCCAGGCTCACCATGGACAGAGGCTACTTCATGTTGCGGAGCAGCTTCTGTTTTGGCGGGTTGCTTCATGGCAGCCTCCCCTGGAATGGCAGCAGCATAAGGATTTCTTTTTAGTCGTGGTTGACAAGAATGTTCTTAACCTGCCTTAAACATTGCCATTTCTATCAGTGCTCTTCTTGCAAGCCAGAAACATTTTTTTTTCTTTATTTAAGGTCAGTCTAGCACGTTATTTATATTACACTAGTCACAGTAGTAGATCTTTATTAATTACTAGTCAAGAAGCCAAATGCATATTCCATATGCACCTGAAGCTCCCACCAAAGTGGAAGTCTAGATATGCAAAAAACACAGAACAGGTTTTAGACTAGAAATCACTTAACTTTACCTAGACAAATATGTGCAATTTTATGACTAATGTATTCTAATGTTGTTAGACAATGCAAGTTGTTAACAAGAAGATGGACCCTCAGAAGACATTACAAACTATGCAGAATTTCCAAAAGGAAAACATGAAGATGGAAATGACTGAGGAAATGAGTAAGTCATGTGTTCCAGTAAATAACTTCAGCGAACATTGATACTGTCAGACAACTAAAGTGGTCAGACACTTTAATCCCACTTCTAAATATTACCACTAACTCATTAAATTGCTATCAGTAAGTGATTATTAAAGGGAAAAATGTCACTTTCTGCATGGTTGCTCTGGACATTTGTCAAACTACTGTCTACTCCCCCATTGTATGAAAGACTTGCAGAAATAAGAACAGAGAAATTGGAAGAGACTCAGTGGAAGAGTTGAAGAACAGGTGTAATACTTAATACTACTATTACTACTAGAATTGACTAAACCAAAATAATAGCCTCTTAGCCTAACCATTAGACATTCAGCTCTTGGGGAATAACAGAAATGACAGTCTGCTATTCTGGGGGCACATCTAGACTGCAGGGTTTTTCCAGGATACCATCCTGGAAAAACTCTGCCACGTCCAGGAAACGCGTTTGTTCTTCGGCCTTTTTTTTTTTTTTGCGTGCGGAAGAGCAAATGCGCTCTTTCGGGCAGCCCTGTATATCTTGTTCTACAAGGAATAAGGGCTCTTCTGAAAGAGGAGGCTTTTCTGCCATTGGGCCCTGCCTAGACAGGGCCCAATGGCAGGAAAGCCTCTTCTGGAAAAGCAATCAGAAAAAGCTACGCAAGCTGCGGAGCGTAATTTGCGCAGCTTTTTCCAAAAAAAGGCTATAGTGTAGACCTAGCCAGAGATAGAATCATAGAATAATAGGACTGGAAGGGACCTCGAGAGGTCATCGAGTCCAGCCCCCCGCCCTCAAGGCAGGATCAAGCTCCGTCTACACCATCCCTGACAGATGTCTATCTAACCTGTTCTTAAATATCTCCAGAGAGGGAGATTCCACCACCTCCCCTGGCAATTTATTCCAATATTTGACCACCCTGACAGTTAGGAATTTTTTCCTAATGTCCAATCTAAACCTCCCCTGCTGCACTTTAAGCCCATTACTCCTTGTCCTGTCCTCAGAAACCAAGAGGAACAAATTTTCTCCTTCCTCCTTGTGACACCCTTTTAGATATTTGAAAACCGCTATCATGAAAGAATCTTCACAGGAGCAAGTGACATGGGTAGTTGATGCTCTTTTGCCAGGAAAGAGATGAAATCACACAAGCTCCTCTTCCCTTTCAGAAGGGAAGACTAGAGTGCAACTATTAATATGTAGTCAACAAATATACTTGTTCACAAAGAAGGATGTTTACTGGATATGGGAATTCTAGGGAAAAAAATACTTTAGTATTGGAATGGGGGTGGGGGTAAGCAAATCCTCTTTCTAGTCTGAAGATAGGTCTGAGCATTAGGATGATATTTAGAGCTTTGGGCTTGCCTGTTGTTATTTGTGTGTACAGTGATCTATAAATGAGACTAGTTGAAAGGCCTCTCATGCATAGCAGTATGTAGAACTTGTAAAATGTTTGGGATGGAAGAGCAGGAGTCCTAGAACAACACTTCCAGCAACCGTTTCTTAATATACAACAAGAATGGACAAGAGAGTTGTAAAAAGCAGTCAAGCAGAGCCTGGGACCCCGTGTGCCTAGTGACTTTAGTGCTGGATAGGAGCAGCTCTCTGTATTGAAGTTTAAACTCATGGTAGTCTGGATACTAATGGACAAGCTTTCTGGCTACTACATTTTGATATAGAGCCTTACCTTGGAACTCCAGTTAAGGACTACTCAGTTTCTCAAACCATATGTAGATTGTTTTCCCTTCTCCTTCCTCCTTTTAACTTAACCATTGTGGCTTTGATAAAGGTTATCAATTTGTTTGTAATTACTAGTGTCTCAATGATGCCATACTCACCTTGCTACTGTTGACATGGCTGCCATCTCATCCTAAAATCTGCCACTGCATTGCCTCTGGTCTGGGAAAGGAATAGGATTTTTAAAATCACATCATGGTGCTAGTCATTGGTGTACCAATTCCTTACAGGTTGGACCTCGCTGGTCTGGCACCCTTATCCTCATGGGAGTTTTTGCCGGATGAGAGGGGGTCATTTCTGCACCACCTCCTCCCCCACTAACCTCTTCTCCTTCCCTCCCCCCTCGCCCCCAGGCCTTGCCCTGCCACTGGCTGGAACCTGCTGCCAGCTCTGCTTCCCTGACAGCCCTACTGAGCTGCCCGACCCCTCTGGGCAGCCCAGCAATGGTGTGCTACCATCCTGCTGCCCTGACAGCCCAGAGAGCTCCCAGCCACCAGTCCATCACAGGGACTGTCTGGTCCTGGAACATCCATGGTTCTGGCAGGCCACAGATGTTGCTGGGCAAGTGTGTCCTGGTTTAGAGAGGTTTAGCCTGTAGCTGGATTTCTGCAATGTGGGGTGGGGGCAAAGAGTCACCTACTAGCTGCTTTTGCAAGGGGAGGGGAGACAAGGTCTTTAAGGGGGATGTAGAGGGTGTTTTAATTGGTTTGTATTTTAAATCCAGGAATAAACATTCTGAAACTAAATCCTGTCTGAAAAATGGCAAAATTAATGTGTTGACACATTAATATTAAGGATATGTCTAGACTAAAAAAAAAAAAAAAAAAAAAACCCCTAAAAGGTCATTTTTTACCTGCGTCTAGACTGCCACTGCGTTCTTTCAAAATTAAATCAAAAGAACGCAGCTTTTTTTGACAGCGGTAAACCTCATTTTACAAGGAAGAACACCTTTTTTCAAAAGAGCTCTTTTGAAAAAATACATTCTTGAATGCAAACAGGGCTTTTTCGAAAGAGAGCATCCAGATTGCCTGGGTGCTCTCTTTCAAAAAAACGGGTTGCTTTTTTGAAAAAAGTTGTGGCTATCTAGATGATCTCTTTCAAAAGAAGCTTTTTCAAAAGATTCTTTCAAAAAAGCTTCTTTTGAAAGAAGTGTGTAGTCTAGACATACCCTAAGTGTTTGTTTGCACTATTTCAGAAGCAAGATTTTAAAGTGCATAAGAAAACAGAACATCTGGGTTGCCAGAATTTGATGCAGAACAGCACACAGTGTACATTCCATCCTCTTGCCTTTTCTTTCAGTGATACTACTGCTACTTGCTTGGTGTGTAGAAGAATGATGGCTTTTAGTTATTCTCCTATTTTGGACTAATGTACTCTAATGCAGCTCTATGGGTGTATTTTTTTAAATTTTTTCCTAGTTAATGATACTTTGGATGATATCTTTGAGGGCTCTGATGAAGAGGAAGAAAGCCAGGATATTGTGAACCAAGTGCTTGATGAAATTGGAATTGAAATCTCAGGAAAGGTAAAGGGGTCAAACACTTTCCTCTAATTTTATTTAAATGTTACCTTAATAGCTTTCATTTTGTTGTTCTGTGCTAGAAGTCAGATTGTCACAGTCTTTTCACTGTGATATTTGTATGTTTATTTAATAGATGGCTAAAGCACCGTCCGCTGCCAGAGGCTTACCATCTGCATCAGCATCAAAAAGTACCACCATTTCAGATGAAGAGATTGAACGGCAACTCAAGGCTTTGGGAGTAGATTAGCCGGATGGCAATACACAACCTGCCTCCTAATAACTACAGACAGGTGTAAAGTGTACACATTTTCAAAATAACTGATGTACTTTGGTTTTAAGAGAACTGAAGACTTCATAAATAATCTGATTCACACCAAAAAAAGGCTTATCTCTAGCCAGAGAACCATTATCAGTAGCACTGAATTCCTGAAGTTGTTTGAAAAACTACTTTGCTATCAGATGACCTAAATAGATACTTAGCATGTGAGATTTTTTTAACACCCAATTGAGAGCTAGTTTAAAATAGGTACGTTCATTTACATCAGGTCTGATTTTTTGGCTGTGTTGCACTCAAGATTTAAACCCACAAGTTAGTTGCTCAAACAGTGCTCGCTTTTTTCAATTTACAAAATGTCTGCTGACAGACTTGGAAAAATAACAGTGGTAAGATGTTCAGTCATTTAGCTGTTTTGGAATTGTCATCCTAGGATTGTTGACAGTGTTTTTCTTTATAAAGTCACTACACATGGAAAGTTCTTAGTATATTTTATGATATTGACTTTACAACTGCTTTGTTTGAAAAGAGATGACATTTTTCATTTGGTAAGATATAAACTTGACACCCTTGTAAGTGTAGGCACCTAGCTTTGTTTTTCAGGTGTCTTTAGGAAATTTGAGTTGATTGATTTTTAGACAATTGTACTACTTACTGAAAGATATGGGTGCAATCTGCTCTTGTTGACTTCAGTGGAAGAGGCTTGAACTAAATATTTAGTGAATATTTTGCATGAAAGGCACTGAAACTGTCTTGTACTATAACATTGTTAACTTAAACAGAATTGTTGTGCCTTTATGTATATAAAACCTTGCCGTAATCTCTAGAGTTTTCAAAATTGTATTAATCATTTAAGGATGAAGTAACTACTGCTAAGGCAGTTATCTACTGCCATCTACGCTTGATAGCAGTCCATGCTGAAGCTGATACAGATTATATCAGCACTTGCACAAAGAATCCTACCTGGCATCTCATTTGTATATATTTTGCAATACTTATCCTCTAACAACAACTCTTTAAATATACCGTATTGTTTACTAAGGTTCATGTGATTGAATACTGGCAAGTGAAACTGATCAGAATGACTAAAACTGATCAGAATGACTTGGCTGCCTTCTCTCTGATTAGCCTTTTAGGTTAAAAAATGGGTATTAACTTCTATCGTACAATGTATGGTCAGACAAGTGATTTGGAAGACAGCATAATAAGAACAAGCTCAGATTCTAACGTTTTCATGGTGTCTGAGTTATCTTATCTGGAACTGTGGCAAGGGTCCTTCTTTGCCCTTGGGTAAAGCAGCCAATAGCCTTTCCCTTAGCAGAGGATTAGGCTTGTAGTCTCTCCCTGGGGTAGGGAGTTCAGTCTCTCCTCCTGGAGCTGTTCACTCCCCTGCTCTCCCTCAGTTGATGGCTGCTTTGGGTGTATTTCTCTCTGGAAAAGGAAAGCTTTAAAAGGTCTCAGCCAGGCTGGAAGTGGAATCAGCTGACCCTAATTGATCAGCTGGACCTAATTGGCCTGAGGCAACCCGTCAGCTGATCCTGACTGACCTGCAGTAATCCACTTCTAGTTAACTGGGGACTGAATCTTATACCCTTCTAGGAGGTGTCTTTTCCCACTGTATTTCTGCCCTCTGGCCTGTCTGTCACAGTCCATAGATTAGCACTGGTGTTATTGGGGAAGCGATTTAATCAAAAATAAGGTGTGCTTAGTCTCAAAGTGGGAAAGCAACTTCTGAATGGAATTGCTATTGTCATACTGTCTGCCAATGCGGGATTGAGCAGGGAAACAAAAGGTTGTAAATAACTATCAGTTTGTGAGCCCAGGTCTAGGTGTGGAAATGCAGAGCTGTTTTCACTAGAAACCCTGGGGCCAAACCCTGACTCTTCATTGTTGGAATGTGCAAGTGTACATAATAAATACATACACACACCCCTGACAGTTGGGGTGAATTTTCTTTTACAACTTATTTTGTAAAAATCTAATAAAAACTTTTATTCCCACAACAGCTGTGCTGATGGTGGGGTCTTGCATATGAATTATCTAGTAATGGACCTCATAAGTTTTGAGTAAGTTAGCAATATTAGTTGTGAATTTCATTTTTTTTAACTTTGTTATTGCTTGTGGGCGAAGGCTTTTGTACACACTTAACTTTAGTACTGGTTTGTTCGGCTTAAAAAAAAGAAAAAGCTGAGAAATAATGATCCTGCGCCAGTCCACTTCCCTCCTCACTGTTTAACCCTCCGTTCTCACAAACCATCTGTGTGCAGTTTATATTTGTCATGATCAGAGCAAAGTGCCTGCTTTCTCTGGCCTTATCCCAGCACCTATGTGGGGTGCTGACCCCGCTGTCCCTATCTGGGCTGCTGTCCCTCCTGCCATTAGGCTCCCGGGCTCTCTCTGGTCCAGGAGCATTCCTGGACCTGCCAGACCACAGAGAACCAGTTTTCAAAGGTTCATCCTGTATTAGCTACCCTCCCCTCGAGGGCATTAATGCATAGGGCTAATATGAAACTGCAACTGTTTTGTCTCCCATCTTTAAAGGATCAGGTATCATTCTGGAAAGAATGCCTAGAAGAGGGAGAAATTACACTGTCATAAACAGTAGCTCTAGTACTAGACAAAGGGTTGAACCCCAACGTTTCTGACGACCAGGGATCAAGCTGTAGGACATCTTGAGGCTGTCAGTCTCGTGACCCAAAATGTGCCCTATTGTGTCAGTGTTTCTGTAATCCAAATGTTTCTGGACAAACTGCTTGCTGTAGTTAATCCTTCATATTCCCTTATGTGAACATGGCAGAGTGCCTGGTTTCATTCTATTTTGCCATGCTTCTGAAATAGTCCTTTACCCATAGAAACTCTTGGAGGACAAGATGCTTCTGATACATTCACCATGTACTACATGCAAAAACAAAACAAGCAAGTGGCAGCAGAGTGGAACAGCTAAAGTAAAATGAAAATACTATCAGAACCAAACAAAAGTGGACAATTATATTTGGTATTCATTATTTGAACAATGCTTTATTTTTGGCACACAGTAGGATTAGTTTTTCATCATAACCCTCTTCAAACAGTTAAATAACTTAGAAAATAAATAAAATCTAAAAATAGCCTACATTCAAAGCTTAACTATGCATAATACATCCCAAGAAAATTCAAACAAAAAAGAAATCAAGGAATAAAATTACAAGTCATCACCTTCATTTCTCTATGCTTTCTGAGATTTTTAGAAAGTGCATTTCTCTCAGTACAGCCCCTCTGGTTAATGGTGAAGCCTGAGGTCTAGTTCCACAAACTGGACTCTTGCTTTGTATTAGTGTTGAGACTGTCTGTGGGTTAGAATAGTTCAAGTCTTGTGTAAAATGTGCATTAGTAAGGAGGAAGAGAGATGTCTTCTCCCTCCCCTTAGTTTTAATTCAGAATCCTCTCCTAAGGATAAAAGGAAAATCAGTGATGCAGTTCATTCATAAGGATATATTCTCTTAATACAGGAGCCTATATTCCTTAGTTTTACATGCCTACGGCTCCTTCCTGCCTGTGCTTATGAATTATTTAAAGCACACCAACATGGATATATTTTACTTGATATACACTTTGTGACCTCAAATATTACAGCCTCTTTCTGGATATATTATCTAGTCATTTTCTAAATCATCCAGCCTGTTTCATACAACACTTGTTTTTTTTTTTTTTTGCCAGTGCCAGTAATGTGCATTTCTGTAATTTTAGTCCTGAGAAAAAGCTTGAACTAGGACACAATAATTAGTATCATTGTTGTTAATAATGGGAACTGTATTGTTGCTATGATTACTACCCAGCCCATGTGAGGATTGAAGTCGCATTATTCCAGTTCACCACAATCCCTGGCTTCATTTTGTCATCTCTGTGGGACAGGAGAAGAGAGGAGTATAAATGATTTCTGCCTATTCTTTTCTAAACCTCATCCTCCCCAGGGGCAAATGAGGTTATACTTGAATTTTGATTTAACTAGGTTTAAAGCATTTACAAAGTCAGCAAGACTTTTTATAGCCTTTGGCAATCAGCATTAAGGGAATGCTATTTCTGCTCAGCACCTGTCTAAATGGATTGGCTGTGTATTGAGAAATGTTACACATTAATGAAAGTGTCAGTACCCCAGTGGTCTTAAAGCTCATTCAAACAAGGCTAATGCAACAGCCTCTGTAAAGTTTCCATTCTATAAATCTGCTGAGCTGTTACCTGGAGTCCTGGCCTCACAGTAAAAGAAGTGTTATCTGGCCTTGTCCAAACAGACATCTACAAACTGGCATTTCTGATCTTTAGTGAACGTTAAATTTATAGTCTGGTTAGTGCAGGGCTGTCGACACCCTTCCTGGCTCTGTGTGGCTCCCTGAAGCCACGGCATGTCCCTGCTGCTCCTAGGTGGAAGAATGGCCATGGGAACTCCGTGCACAGCCCTCCACCCCTAGCAAAGGCTCCACTGCTCCCATTGGCCGTGGTTCCCAGCCAATGGGAACTGCAAAGGTGGCATCTGCAGGCAGAGGTAGTGCATCTAGCCACACCTCTGCCTAGGAGGATCAGGATCATGTCATCACTTCTAAGGAGCCACCCACATCTGGCACCCAAAACCTTTCCTAAGGCCCAGATCATGGGCCTGGACCTCCTTCCACACAAACTCCTTCCCCAAACCCAATCCCTAACACTGAGCCCTTTCACTCATCCAACTCCCTCACAAAGCCTGAACTCTGCATGCTCTCCTGTACTTTGACTCCCTTGGCCCCAGCCTGGAGCCCCCTTCTACACCTCGAACCCCTCATCCCAACCTTGACCTTGTACCCCCAGACAGAGTCCTTATCCTCTTCTACACCCAACCCCTTTCCCCAGCCCAGATCTACCTCCCACACTCTGAACTCTTAATTAACCAGAATCTTTGATTAATTGGAACCCACTCCACCAGCATGCCAGCTAGGAAAGTTGTACATAACCGATATCTTTTGATCAAGCAGCTACATCTGATGTTCCTTTTTGGAGGACACTTCTGCAGTCCTTGCCTAATTAGAACTCATCCCGCCTTTGTAACACCTTAGAGACTAACAAAAATGTAGATGCTATCATGAGTTTTGGTGGGCACAACCCACTTCTTCAGACTGTGCCTACAAAAGCTCATACCACCATCTGCATTTTTTGTTGGTCGCTAAGGTGCTGTGGGTCTACAGGCAGTCCCCGGGTTACGTACAAGATAGGGACTGTAGGTTTGTACTTAAGTTGAATTTGTACTTAAGTCGGAACTGGCATCCAGATTCAGCCGCTGCTGAAACTGACCAGCGGCTGACTACAGGAAGCCAGAGACAGAGTTTCTCTGCCCCGGGGTTCCTGGAATCAGCCACTGATCAGTTTCAACAGCAGCTGAATCTGGACGCCTGGGACAGAGCAGCTGGGGCGCTGCCGGGTAGGTCCAGTAGAGCAACTCTGCCTCGGGCTTCCTGGAGTCAGCCGCTGGTCAGTTTCAGCAGTGGCTGACTTGGGGACGCCTGGGGCAGAGCAGCTGGGGTGCTGCCGGGTTGGTCCAGTAGCGCCGAGGAGTGGCGCTGCAGGACCAACCGGCAGCGCCTCAGCTGCTC